TTTGGTCTGCTCAGCTTCAGCTTTGGCTTCAGCTTGCCGCAGCAGCAGCAGGATTCTTGAAAAACTAAGCCAGCAGTAACACGAATCTCGTCATGTACTTTGTGTGTGTGTGTTGTGTGTCGTTGAATTCTTGGAAATTTCTAATGAACACAAACACAAAAAGGAGCACACAAAAATGTAGTAGGGAACAAAAAAAAAACAAGAATTAAAATGAAAAAAAAAAAAAAACTACAGTGAAAAAAAAAAAACGAAACCGAAATAATGTGGATCAAACGCACGCTAAATGAGTACAAACAAGCGGAACGTGAGAAGAGCCATGAGAATCAAGTAAGGCACACACACATCCACATGGACTTTTGGCTTGTGTATGTGTATGGATGAGGGCATGTGCGCCGACGCATAAGACGCCGCCTGATATGCATAGAAGAGATTTCGCATTTAGTAGAGCACAATACAGGAAACAAATGTGAGACGCAGCCAAAACTAAAAATAGACCGAGAGAGTGAGAGAGCGCGGACACAGAGAGAGAGAGAGAGAGAGAGAGAGAGAGAGAGAGAGAGAGAGAGAGAGAGAGCAAGAGGAATAAGTGAGCTGAGTTTGAGCGCCAGTAGCCTAGATGACATTGGTATGAATCGAAGCTTTAGCATTCAAAACACACACAGACGCACGCCTCCATACATGTGCATGTTTTTAATTATATGCAGGCTGCACTGGCCCTCAGCGCAGTGTTGTTCGTCTCGCCTTTTTCCCGCCAAAAATTTAAAATATGAAATTCGCAACTGAAATTTGCAACTGTATGCGATTTTCATTGAAGTAAAAGATTAAGTTAATTTATATTCAGGAAAATATTTGCATTTCCTTTTCTGATAGCAGCTATGACAGGGCGCCTAAGCAGGACGCGTTAGGGCAGGGTCATTATTAAATCTAAGCTTTGCTTTTGCGTTTGCTTTACCTGGCATATATGCACACACACACACAGTCTACCTGAAATTTGTTTGTGGCCTTCTTCAGTATTTGCATCCTGTTTCGAGCAAAAACTCGACGTCCTTCTACTCTTCCGCTGGGCAACAACACATACACATACGCGCACACAAGAGCATATGGGACACGCTCCTCCCTCACCTTTGCCCCGTTGACCCGTACTGCTTTGCCTCTTGTACTTGATTTCTCATTCAAAGGCGCATTTGATGGGGATTTGTTTGCTGTTTCTTCTATAACTTTTGATCAATGCGAAACGAGTTTGCCTTGAATAGAGCGAGAGAGCGATGGAGAGGGGGAGGAGGAAGAGGCTATGGGGGTGCGGCGCTGCATGAATGGAGTAGAGCAGCTGCTGCCACACAAGGCGTATGCGTAATGCGAACGAATCTATGGACAGAGGATGCGACAGGATTCGAGTGTCACAGACAATGACATGATTAAATCGAATCGAATGACAATCAAATAGGAGGTAATAAACAAGCCGACATCAAGCGATCGCTGCGCTAGATTAGAATGCAAAAGCAGTCAAGGCACAAAAGATACAAAGATACAATGCACACACACACGCACGCAGGCATGCATGACAGCCAAAAAGGCAGCAGCACACTAAATGGGGTGAATGGCTGTGATTAGAAGTTGCGAGCCCACAAAACTGCGATGCAAAGGATGCGCACGCTGACTGCCTTCTGCCTTCTGCCTTCTGCCTCCTGCCTGCTGCCTCCTCCCCCTTCCGCCACCCTCTTGCCCACTCCTCGCTCACTCACTCAATACAAATTGGCAAATGGTCTCGGCTCTCGGTTCTCAGTTACTCACGTATCTACAATCTGCAATCTTCAAGTGAACAAAAATTAGAAGCAGCGAGAGGGCAGTCGAACTCCTTGCGTATAATTAAAAAAAATTTCCTAAAGGGGGAAGGCGAAAGAAATTGAGTTGGGCTGTGAGAAACTTATTTCGCAAATGCGAACAGACCAAAGGAAATGAGGGAAAACGCCAGAGCCAAGAGCCAACAGCAACAGCAACAGCAAAAGCCACAGCCATAGCCATAGCAAGAAAGAGGGTAACAATTATCTAAGGATCAACGCCAACTCAGGCGACGAAACCTGATTATAAGCATATAGACAGATACATATACACTCACACACACATATATATATATATATATAAATGTATAGGTATACATACCTATATATATTTATATATATATAGATCATACAGTAGGCAACCCCTTCTCTTTATATACACATATTTCGGCACTTTTTCTAAGCAAACTCCTTTCGGAGCAGTCTTTGCGGCATGTTTTCTTTGGCGGATTAAGCGGAAGGCTACAGAAAAAGATTTCAAGCTGCCTTTGTCTATGTGTGTGCGTGGCTGTGTGTGTGCTTTTGCTGTTTGCTTTGAGTTTCTATTAGAAATTAGTCAACATTTTTTTTCACATATCTAAGATTGCTAGCAGAGACGCTGACGTTAACATCAACGGCTACGTCTACGCCGACGTCGACGTTAACGCGCAGCTTAGCCGTTGTCGCAACAAGCAGCTTAACATGCGCTCAATATCGCGTATGCGTCAGCGCGTACGCTTAACACAAATACAATAGCAATAAAAGCTTTAAGCACAGCTCAATAAGCTTAGGCTTCCAAGTTGAAGCAGAAAGCTTAGTGAAACCATGAATGACCAAGAGCTTTTTACAAATGTAGAACATTTTGTTAGTGATAAAAATGATGTATCTCATTATTATTCAAAAGCTATTACGTGTCCAAGACCTATCATGATTCATAACGATTTATGTTAAAAGGGAACTATATTATAGAGCTTTTGATGCTGCTCGTTATATATGAAGTAGACCTTCAAAAGCGAGACATTTTAGCCAACGCAAAAAAAAAACAAAATGTCAATGCATTTCAAAAAGCAAGTGTAGTGAAAAATTAAATTTGTATAACTAATTATATTTCTTAAGGGGACAACTGTTTCGAAATGGATTTATGCAAAAAGCTTTTGAATAAATATGAGCGACAAAAGGTCCTTAAAGAAAGTGATCAAGCATATAGCGACTTTTTCTGACTAGAAACTAAAGCATAATCTGTATTTGATGAAGCTGATCGGGTTATTGGTTAGAAATGTAGCTAAAGCTCTAATGCTGAGCTACTTAAAGCAGTTGTCGCTGCACGTGCAGATGGACCCACTACGATCGCATTCCGCATCTGTGTGATACTTGCTGATCTTCCCTACGACCCTGTCACACGCACTACGACAGTTCCTTGGGCTTGGCAGCGAGGGGTGTTGCCTGTTGGCTTGCCTTGCCTTACCTTACCTTACTTTTTTGCACAGGTAGATCCCTTTGCTACTGACCCTATTCCTATTCCTATTCCTCTGCTCTGATCTGATCTGGCTCAGTGTTTACTTACACCACTTGAGCTTAACTCGACGGCGCGGCCGGAAGCTGATGAGGGTCGAGAATTCGCTTGAGTTGGGTTTCTTATTTTCTTATTTCATTTATTTTTTTGGTTTAGGGTTTTGGGCCTGAGAGCTTTTTACGATTTTTTTTTAATGTTTTTTTTTTTTCTTGGGTGATATGCCCAATTTATCACAGGAAATTAGCTGCTATTTAGCAGCGTTGTATGTGCTCGAAGAGAGGGACACAGGAAGGCCAAAAGGTAGGCGGCCAAATAGCTGCCGCAGCTAAGAGCCTCACACACTCAGGCAGCGAGCGGGTGTGCCACGCACACACACACACCCATACAAGCACACACGCACAGTTAGAGGCAGAGGCAAGTTTCGTGTTATTTGGCGTGATAATTTGTGCAATTGTGGATTGCCAAGCAGCAACGAGAGGAGCTGCTCCCCCCTCTCCTGCCTATCCTTACAAGTCCAGGATCGCTTTACTGGTTTGCTAGATCAGCAAGCGCTGGGCTGCGCAGGGCAGGGCAGAGGGTGGGGCAAGTTTTAGGGTTTTTTTTGGGTTTAGGGTTACGGGTTAGGGGTTACAGCTGAGATAACATACGCTAAAAAAGCGTGAGGCAAGGCGTAGTTAAAAGGATGTGGCGCCATTTTGAAAGAATATATATTTTTTTTTTGAGAGATGAAGTGAGAGAGAGAATATTGCAGAATATTGTTTGTTTTATTCAAGTAATTCTCTTATGGAAAGAATCGAAAATATAATTATATATATATATAACGATCCTATATTATGGTGTATTTGTACTTTATAACATATATATATATATATAAAGTATATATACTATATATAGTATACAGACACTTTCAGAAGATTCTCACATAGAACCTATCTATCTTTCAGCCCTATATCGGATATGGAAAGCAGCAAATGGGAAATCTTCTATCAGACATTACATAACATATCATTGTATTATATACACATATACATATCATCAGATACATGTAAATATCCTTATGAAAGTATATTCTCTGAGTCGATTTGTCTTTGTTCCCTTTGAGAAATCAAAGGATCTTTCAGAAATCATCAGTATTCATGGAGAAGAAGTTAAATGCATTCACGTGTACAGTAAAACCCTGGCCATTTGAATAAACTGTACCAAACATTTAGGATTTGGTATTGGATAATGTGATATTGCAGAGACTTTCAGAGGTATCACTGTAGGTGCACTTCAGCTTGAAACACAAAAGCAAATAGATCAAATTTAAGAGAGGCAGGCTTTACAGAGAGAGACAATGCTACAAAGCTGACCACAATAGACTACAAAGGGAATGGGTGAAAAAAGGGGGTTTTGGGGGGCGGGGGCTGTTGGGTTTGATAAAAGGCATAAGGCTAAGGACTCTACGGGGAAAAGCTTATACACACAACTAACTATGCATGTACATATATCAATTAAAACAGAGAGAGAGAAGAAATGATTTACGATATAATACGTTAAAGTTGGTGTAGATAATGATTAAGATTGAGTTTATTATTGCGTGGGGGGAGGGGGTGGGGGGTGTTGTTGGTAGTTCTTTGTTTTTCTTTTTTTCCTTTTGATTATTATGTTTATTGATTATGGATAAATACCTTGAGGTGCCAGCACCTTCCAATTGCTGCCGATCCAATGGCGGATCGAAGATTTGCTCGCGATCCTCTTTTGATAATTCCAAATCGGCGAATTGATCCAGTTCGGAAGCCATCTTTAAAAAAAAAACTGTACCTACTGCTTCTGCTGCTTGTTATGGTTGAATTTGAGTCGCTTTTGTTTGTTTGTTGTCGTGTTTAGTTTTTCCTTGTGGCTTGCTTTCTGGGATCGGGATTTGGGGCTACGTTATGCAGGGATCTTCTTTAGAGCACGATATTTGTATATATATATATATTTGTGAATATATGAATATATATAGGATAATAGCAATTGTGTTCGTTTAGTTGTTGTTGTTTTGTTCTCGTTGATCTGGCAACTCTTTGGCGAAACTCGAGTCACGAAAAACACTTGGGAATTTTGGATTTAGTATTATTTGTATTTGATATAGAGATTTGAGTTCCGTTTAAAGTTTTCGCAGCTCGAATTTGGGTCGTGGAATGCTTCAAAAGGACGTTTCGCTGTTTGAATTTTGGCGCTTAGGTTTTGCATTGACTCATGTCCTTGTCTGTTCTCTTTTCTTTTGCGTTGGTTCGTCGTTTTGGGGGGATTTTTCGCTTTTGGTTTCTAGACCGAACAAAAATTTTGCTGGCTTTTTCTAATTTTTCCTTTACTTTTCTAAATCGACTTAGTGGCGTTTAACAGTTGTTTTAATTTGATTATTGTTGTTGCATTGATTGGTTTTCTTTATACCGCGCTCGATTCGATATTTTTTTTTTCGATTTTTTTGCGATTTTTTTTGTCTTTTTAAAGTGAATTTCGAGGAAAAACTTTTTGCTTTTAAGGCCGTTCAAATGTCGTCCGAATCGAAAAAAAAACTGCGTGATTGGCCAAATTAGGTGAAAACCTGAAACGTAGGAAGAAGAAATTTAACATTAATAAGATGCGATTAGCTACAAATGCTCCTAAGCAATCAAATACCCAATGAAAAGCTTTGCTCTGTTATGTTAACAGCTCACTTGACATTACACAATCGAGTGCGTGTGCATTGATCAGAATATATAAAATGGCAGACACCTTGGCTAGGCCACACGCACACGCACACGCATTAACCCAAGCACAGACAAACTCATACAATGCATCCGAATGCGATGGCAATATAGAAAGATGCAAAAAACAATGGCAGCTACGTAAAAGCTCAATGTTGAGCCACCCCCTACATTGGTGTGTGAGTGAGAAAGAGAGTAAGCGCGCAACAGCTGTTACAGCGATCAGAGGCCGGCCGGTAAGCAACACGTTGCAACACATGTTGCTAACTAACCAACCAGCGAGCGAACGAACGAGCGAGCGAGCGAGTGGGTGAGTGAGCCAGCGACCTGCAAAGCTTTTGCTATTGCTTTTCTCATTAAACAACAGCAGCAGCACTCGCGACGCCATTAAGTGGGCGCACGCTGAGCGTTAGCCGCACTCCCATTTAAAGATTTGTGCGTGAAATACTAAGAGAGAAAGGTTTGTAGGAGCTGCTGCCGACGTCGTCGTCGCCGTCGCCGTCGCTGTCGTCGTCATGTTGACTTTGATCTTGGCCTGTGTCTGTATGTGTGCTGCGTGCGTTGGTGTTTCTTTTTTTGGCAATTGTTTTTGTTGTTGGCATTTTTTTGTTTGTGTGGTGAATAAGTAGGCAAAAAGCAAAATCACGAAAGCAACCAACAAAAAAAAAACAATTTATTTCACGAAAAAAAAACGAAAAGAAGACAAAATAGAACTGCCCAAAAATGGGCAAAATAATTATTATTCTATTTTGTTTGTTTGTTGTAAATACGTTTTAAACTTATTTATTTATTTATATTTTTTTCTTTTGCTTACTTCGCTGATTGCAATTGTTGTTGTTGTTGTTTTTGTTGCTGCCGCTATGTTTGCTGTAATTTATTTCTTTTTCTTTTTTATTTTTTGCTCAGATGATGTCAGAACGTGTTTAAAAAAACTTTTCTGTTTGATATTTCTCAGTTGACTTTGTATTTTGCATTTGTTTTTTGACTTTGCGAGCGTCTGCTGAGTTATACATGCGGTTTTATTTTTTTTTTTTTGTTTTTCAAAATTATGTAAAAAAAAATAACAAGGTATTTATTGCTGCTTGCAATTGTTTGTCACTGAATCAATAAAAAACGTTAAAAAAAATTATAGCATTTAAAACTGTAAAAGGCAAAACACAAGTCGTACAAATTAGTTGATTTTCCTCATTTTTTTGGCGATTTGTAAAAAAGGCACACACAATGCTGCGGGGCGGAAAACACGCGCGCGCACGCACTCATACACACACATGCACATATATACACGCACACACAAACAAAAAATATGCCACGAAAAGCAGCAGCAGCAGCAACAGCAACGACATCAAAAAAGCAAAAGCTGCTGCCCCGCCCTCTTGCTCACCCCCTATGCTGTGCAGCCCATCGACTATCCCCGCTGTCCCCGCCAACGCGACAACTACAAATTCGATATTTTGCTTCTTCTTGTTGTTGTTGCTAATTATAAAACGTAACTGACAAGTACAAGTTTAACGGTAATCATCTTTCTTTTAGTTTATTGTATACTTGCTGTTGGCAAATTGTAAAATAACATTGCAGTGCGCTCAAGTATTGGTATGTGTGTATGTACGTGTACGTATATATGTATGTGTTATTGGCTTTGAATGATTTTTTGCTTTTCTATTTTATGTTCGGTCTGTTATGTGGGGGACCTCGTTTGATTTGAACGTTTTGTACGCGTTCTTTATTTTATTTTGCCTTTTTCTCTTTTTTTGTTCTTCTTTTGCTTGCTTACGTTTAGGAACGAACGAACGAACGAGTGTAGAAGAAGCAGCAGCAGATCAAGATCACTTTGTGGTTTCTCGAAAATTGAAAATAAAAACTATTTACGAACAAACACAACAAAGGGAAAAAAAACAATGAACGACGGCGGCGGCAACGACGGACACGTTAATGCATATTTCAACTTTTATTTGCGTTTCTTTTTTTATGCTTTGCCTAAATGCCGAAAATATTCTGCCAATAATGCTTTTAGACGACCTTCTTTCTGCTGCGAAGTTCCAAATACAAATGACGGAAAGAAATACTCCCAAATACTAAAATGACCGAATGACGTGCATGCGGCACTCTGGTGGCCGTCTCCGTAGCAGTCGCCGTCGACAGCGGCAGAGGCAGCGACAGCAGCAGCAGTAGCGACAGCGATAGCAACAGAAGAAGAGCAAAAAAACGTGAGAGTGAAATGGTACAACAGAGCAGAACGAGCTCAACACGCCAGCTAGCGCTGCCCACCGCGTGCGTAACATTTATCACTTAACAGTTCCACTCAAGTATATTTCGGCCGCCAACGCTCCGCTGCTGCCTGAGCCGAAATTCCTATGCTCAATGCACACACACACGAACAAATACATCCAAACATCGCGCCAACAGAATCGGCGGCAGCGGCAGCGACTGTGCAAACGACAGAATCGACCGCGACCGCAGCCAAGCGAAAGACAGCACAACACTCACCAGTGTGTGTGTGTGTGTGAGCATGTGTGCTTTTGCCGAAATTTAATAAGAGTGAGTGGAATAACAGAACGAGCAACGATAAATTCAGCAAACCGAGTGACTTTTGTCTTGAGATTAAAAACAGAAGGAGCTTTGAGCTCAAAAATTCGACTCAAATTCATACGCGCAAGATTATTGAAGAGTTAAAACAATTAGAAAACTAAAAAGCCCAAATTAAAAAATAATGTTAAAATGTGATTAATCGAGCTAATCAAAGTAGACCTTTTGGCACAACAAGTTAAGATTTAATTTATGGTTGAGCGTCAAGAAACACTCAAGACTTAGACTCACACTTGGGCTCGAACGAAGACTCGAAACTGTGACGCTGACTCGGGTTCGAGATACGGAGCCGAATTGCTACTCAAAAACGGGGCGCGCAGCCTGGAACTGGAAACGGGAGCTTTGGCCACGTATTGGGAATACTGCGTATGTGTGGCTGTATGTGTGTGCGAACAGATGCCAGGATTATGTAGCGCTACGTCGCTGTCGACGATGGCGTTGCCAAAAAATTTAATGCGGCGACGTCGACGTCGACGACGACGGTGACGGTGACGACGGCCACAAATGCGACGGCAACGACGGCGGCGCTTAAGCTCTAAAAAGAAAAAGGAAGCAGCAAAGGAAGTGAACCGTGAGCACTGTGTTTCGAGCTGTTAGCACCGAAGGCAAATTGAACCTTATATATAAATATATACACACATGTGTATGTATGTATGTACGTATATATATATTTATATATATTCACATATTTTGGAATGTGCGAATAAAAAATAGAATAAAACGAAGTACAAATACTCGAATCGAGTGTACTCGACCAACTCATACTCTCTTTCTAAGCGTCGGCCAGCAAATTCTATTGATTTTTAATTCATGTTTAATGATTAGAATTAGAGTTAGGTCAAGTTTGTATACCCGCTGTGACAGCGCTTTCATACATATTCCAATACCAACAAGAGAATGAAGCGGCAGCTAAGCAGCAGACACAACTTTAAGATTCTATCTAAGCACACACACATAGACAGACATTATTGAGTAATTGATGAGTTATTGAATTCCTGTGCCGCAGAGCCAAGGGACCATACGGCAAGTAGACCATACGGCAAGCAGAGTTTCAACTGCTAGAAGTATATATGTATATATATTTTTTCTCATATAATTTTAAAATTTTTAATTTATTTGATTTTTCAAACATAATTTTATATTTTCAATATTTTTTGAAGTAATTAAGTAAAAAAAATTCAAATAATATAGATAATCTATATTTATATAAATATCTCTTATAAAATATTATTTTTTCTATTTTTGAGTATCAGAAAATTTTATATTTAAGGAAGAATTAAGTGTCTTAAGTGTCAAGCTTTTCTGAATTTTAATTTTTTAAATTTATTTAATATTTAATATTAATATATATTTAATATATTGCTTTGGTTCCTTAAATAAAAATATGTATGAATGTATGTTCGTATGTATGTATGTATGTATGTGTACATTTAAAAATAGTTCTCGATACTTGCTCAAGAAGTATATAGGTGGAAATCTGACTAGCGCTTAACAATCCTGACCTTATTAAGCATAAGAGTTGGAATAGTTGTTGATGGTGTGGCACGCACAATGAGGCGTGGCAAGTTCGAAAATATTGGTTTAATGAAGCAATGAATTTGAAGTACCAGACCCATAATCTAAATATATAATCGAAATAATTATGGGCATATTAAGAAAGAAATCTTCAGATTCTGAAATAATTCTATAGATCCTATGGATCATATGGAAAGGATTATTCATTTCGATTATGGATTCAGACTGCAGTAAGATACGTGGATAAGTAGATGAAGATGTAAAGACATAAGATATGTATAAAGAACTTGCCAAGGGCCACGGAGCACTTGTTGCACATGCAACTGCACTTTGCTTTTCTCTCACTCTTAGGTTGCAGCAGGGGTAGCCAAGTGACAGCAAAGCACGCGTCGCAATCAAAACAAAATCAGCGAGAGGCTACAGCAACAGCAGCAGCAGGACCAGGATAGGGCTGGATAAGAGGTGCGCGGGGTTCTTTCGGGGCCTCTTCGCCTGTTTGTTCGCATTGCAATTGCAGTTGTTGAAGGTGACATTAATTGACGTTTAATGAGCACAAGCGACAAACGAGGGGTGGCAAATGCAAGTCGAAAGAAAGGAACAGAGACACAGACAGAGACAGAGGCAGAGAGAGAGAGAGAAAGAGAGAGGTAGATACAGGAAGAGAGCGAGCGAGTGAGAGCAGGCGTGAAGCCAATTAAAGTTGAAAGCTTTTCATGCCTTTTTATTTGCCAATAATTCAAGACACACCAAAAAAGTGCATCCTCTCGTTCGCGATGATACAAAAGGCAGCATGCCTGGGGGTTAAAGGTTATGTGTAGAAAAAGGGGGTTGCTGCACAATGGCCTGCATACTGAGTACAATCCCTGCACGCTGCAGCCTCTGAGCAGGGGTTAGACTCGGCTGCAGAGGGTGCGCCTGCTGGCCGCTTGAGTGGGCGTGCAATTTGCATTGGCCGTGCAACGGGCAGAGGGCAAAGGGTTGGCGGTCAGAGGTTGGCAATCGGCAGTCGTCAGCGAATGATGAACGAAACGCAAAGAGCGCGCGACTCGTGTGTTGCTTGACTTGGAATTGCAACAGCCGCTGTCGCTGCCACAGCTGCACTCGTTGCCTATGAAGGGTGCACGCACACACACACATACACACACACACATGTATATATAGAAGTGAATGTGTGTGTGCTTTTGCCTGCACAACAAGTGCAATACAAAAATGGCGCGCGCAGCAACTGCAGCAGCAACCCTGCAAAGTATGCAATAAAACCCGAATGCGTATCTATGTATATGAGTGTGCGTGCGTATATGTATGTGTGTATGTATAAGAGCGAGAGCCAGACATAGGCCTGGCAAATGGCAGCGCTTATATTTATGTATGTCAGCCTGTGCGTGTGCATGTGTGTGTGGGCATTGCAATGCGAAGTGCAATCAGCAATAGGCACGCATGTGTGTGTGTGTGTGAGCGCTAGCAAAATGAAGGCGGGCAAAGTAAAGCTTCGGGCAACAGATCAGCTAAGCGATTAACGGAGAGCCAAACAATTGAGCGAATGGCAAAGCGCAGAGCTGTATAGATGTGTGTGTGAGTGTAACGTCAAATGCAATCGTACATACGCATACATACATATATGTATATACGTGTCAAGCCTAGCGGAGCTTTTGCATTCGAACAGCTGTTGGCTAAAGCGAGAGAGACAGAGGCAGCATGAAAGGCGGAAGAAAGAGAGAGTGTAAAGCAGAGATTAAGCCAATGTGAGTGTTTGCGTGCGTGCAGTTATTTTTAGCTGCGTTCGCGCCACAACAAAATGGCGAATGCTAAATGTATTAAGTGTGGCGCTTGAAAGCAATTGATCACAGCAAAGCAACAAGGCAAATGGAAAGCGAGAAAGAGAAAGATAGATAGAAAAAGAGAGATAAGTGCGTGTGAACAGTTAACAGTTGCTATGTCCTGGAGCCTTGACACTGGCAGCAAGAAGCAGCACAGATAACTGACAAAAACCAGAGACTCAAACAAAGGCAAAAGCAAGAAGCGCTTGCGTCTATTGTGCGTAGCGTGTGAAGCTGAGCCAGCAACAGGATAAAGAGGCCGGGACGAGCGCTGGCACAAGCTGTATAAAACAGGACATTAAACAATTATACAAGCAAGCCAAAAAGTACAGACAGCACATACACGCACACACACATACAGAAAGACAAGTAATTCAATAAGCAATAACGGGCCAGGAGAGGTGCGGGGGGCATAGCAGATAGAACTAGTCTGTACAGTATTATATAACTAGTTCACAAGTGAGCGAGCGAGCGAGACAGACAGCGAGAGTGAGCGAGATAGAGGGAGCAAGCAGAAGCTGTTGCTGCTGCTGCTGCTCGAGCTTATTAGAAGGACGCGAAAGCGAACGCGCCAGGCTCAAGGACAACCGCATGAAAGGAAGCGGCGCGCGCGCCCTTGCTCCTGTACAAATACTTATGCACACATGTATGTATGTATGCTGGCGGTACAGTTACGCAGTCCAGCTGGCGGACAGGCGAAAAGAAAAAGCTTTCGCTGATCCTATTAGTGGCATAGGGAGATATACACACATGTCTGTGTGTTGGTGTGTGTGTGTGTGTGTAATCCGAAAAGCAAACTAGCTTTGTGGCTGGTCACACTGGCAGCCCGCGTTTTCCGCGTCTGTGGAATGCGCGCCCCAAGGAAATACGAATCTAATTTTATGCAGTCTCCCATTCTCTCTCTCTCTTTCTCGCCCACTTTTTTCCCAACCCACTCTCTCTCTCTCTCTCGCTCGCTCTCGCTCTGTTGCGCTCACACTCACACTGGCTCGTGTGCGGCTGTTGAACTTTTAAATTGTTTTGAAAACATTTTGCGCTGCTCTCCATGAAGAGGAAGCGCACACACAACTTGAAAATGCATTAAATTTAGACACAGCTATGCGGATTACACAAGCGATCCAAGCGAGCGTGAGGGGGTGGGAAGGGAGGAAGGGGCAGCGGGAGGGGAGGGGAGGGGTTGCGTTGCGTTGCTGGTGTGATTGGTCTTGGGGCAAACGCAAACGCCAGACAGCTTCAGATTCATTCATGCCACGCGCCATCGACCCACTCGGCATTTAAAATAGAAACAATTCCCGAATGCAACGCCCCAAGAATGACAGCGGCAGACGCAACTCTATGCCACACAAAGTTGCCACAGTTTATTGCTGCATCTGCATTACATAAAGCCAACTTCAGACAGTCTTCCAAATGTGCGCCCAAATCGAGCTAATCAAGAGATTATTGAATAGCGAAAGCTGAACGGACTGGACCGGAAGAATGTCTATAAATTATTTATATAAATATATATATATATATATATATATATATATACATATATGTATATGATAAAAAGTATGATATATATAGATAGTCTTTAATGAATAGAAAGCTCTTATAGTAGTTTTAGATATGTATATGTATTCACATTAGCTAGTCTTTACTGTATTCATAATTACATATATGAAATAGAATTAATTTAGCTCTTTAATCTCGCCTAACATATATCAATAAAGCAACAATTAGAATTTATTTACAATTTAAGTGCACAGTAAAGACTAGCTGAAGCGAACTCATATAGATTGAAGCATCTCTGCTGTTATCTATTATCTATCCGTGGCATATATAATGCAGATAACTCTATATATACAGTATGAAAGCTGGCTAAGTCTGATATATATCAAAGCTTTTCCATATTGTTCAATTTCATAAATTTTGATATCTAGTTCTATGTTTGATGTACGCTCGTTTCTTATTCTGATGTACACGTGACGTAAGTGTGATGTACCTGAGATATTTGAGGCATTGCGTCTACTTACCGATTCCGGTAACTGACTGATTGAGCGACTGTTTGGCCTGCCTGGTTGCTGCTGATTGCTGCTGATTGATGCTGACTGTTTGGCGGATATTGACTGTTCCAAAAAGAAAACAATATATAAATAAATAAATTGTTATTGGGCTAGTTGCAACAAATGTCTGTTGCACAGTTGCACAGTTTCCAGTCCTCCAGTCGCCAGTTGCCAGTTGCCAGTTGACAGTTGACAGTTTCCCAATTCCAATCACATTCGTTTGTATCCTAATGCTCTGCTGTGATATATATATATATATATATACATATATATTTATATATATATATATATATCTTGAATGGCAGCTGATCTGTCTAACTGTCCGTCCGTCTGTCGGTCTGTCTGTCTGTCTGTGTCTTTAATGTTTGGCAAAGTTCCCTTTTCTATAACATTGGCTCGCTCGCTCGCTGCTGCTGCTGCTGCTGCTGCTGCTGCTGCTGATGTTGTTGTTGTTGTTGTTGTTTTTAGTTTCGACTGTTGTTGCTTTGTTTTGATTAGGTGTTGTTGTTTTTTTTATCGTTTCTTATAACTCTTCTTCTGATTTGAAATTGGGGTCCCACTTGCGATTTTGTTGTTGGCTGATCAGTGTCTAATAGTCGTCTAATGGACTTGATCGAAAGAGAAGATAGATAAGATCGGGTGCACAAGCATATATGTGTATATGTATATGTATATATATGCATAAATTATCTATCAGTGCCTAATATATATACATATACATATACACACACATATATAAAAATATAATTGAAATGGATTTATTGATGGCGTTTAAATACTTTTTGGATTTTTATTTTGGATAATTTTTGTTGTTGAGGGAGAAAAATTGAAACTGACGAGTGAAAATGAATTGATGAATTGTTCTGGAAAAACTTCAAAGTTAACAGCTCGACAAATGCTATCTAAGTTTCTCTAACAAAATCTAGTCCAACCCCAGCTCCCGCCCACCCTGCGCTATCCCTAAGCCAAACAGTGTTGTAAAACGGCGCGGCACAAAATCTTTAATTTGATTGATTTTATGCGAAAACAAAAAACAATTCGGAAATATTTTTTTGTTGTTTTTTTTTTTTTTGTATTTGTTGGTAAAGGGAAGTTTATTGATTTTTGCGTAGGTGACAAAGAAGACGGCGGACAGAATCAGCAGAGTTGGGAGCAGGAGGCAGAACGCAGAAGGCAGAAGGCAGTGGCAGAGGCAACGTGAGAGAGCGAGAGAGCGAAAGAGAGAGAGAGAATGAGAAAGAGATGTGGCTGTTTGTTAAGCTGGCGGTGCGAACGAGACAGCAGCTGATGCGTGCGAGTGCGTAAGACGCCGACGGCATAGGCAACGGCTGCGTCGCCGTCGCCGTCACCGTCACCGTCGACGTCGCTGCTAAAGAAAACTGGAAAATTCTTGCTTACAATTACAAATTATCAATTGTTTTAAATTGATTCCGGTTTTTGGATTGCTTTAGCGTGTATGTTATCGCTATCGGTATCGATATCGGTATCGGTATCGTTATCGCTTTTGCTTCACTTTTGCACTCTTCCAACAGACAAAAAAAAAACGAAGACGACAACGGCGACGGCGACGGCGACTGCGACGATAGACAGCGGCTGGTGTCAACAAATTCGGTTTGTATTTTCTTGATTATTTCTTGCTTTCTTTCTATGTGACTATTTCTCTTTGCTTTCTTGCTTTCTTTCTTTATTTGTTTTCTTGCTGGTTTGGCTTGGTTTCGGTTTTCGGTTTCGAGAGCTGAGAGTCGAACAAACGAACGAACGCGCGGCACGGCGACGAGTAAACTGCCAACGACGCCAAAGCGTTTCAATGAAAATGTCTGTGGAAAATCCACGCAGTCGCAGCAGCAGCAGCAGCAGCGGCGGCGGCAGCAGCAGCCGAGCAGCTGTCGCTGGCAGCGAAGTCGCCGTCGCATTTTTCCTATCCACAAACAGTGAAAGTTATGCGTGAGCTGTTCTTCTTCTTCTGCTTCTACTTCTGCTAGTTGTTGTTGCTGCTGCTGCTGTTGTTGTTGTCATTGCGGCGGCGTCAAATCAAAATGGCCGACATGTATGTAACTGTGCGTGCGCGTATGTGTGTGTGTGTGTATGCGTACGTTCACTCGTCTCTGTGTGCATGTAAGCGGGCGTCTATACGCTCGTTTATCCGTCCGTCCGTCCGTCCGTCCGTCCGTCCGTCCATCCGTTTACAACAACAATTTCAAAGTCGCAATCGGCGTCCGAGTCGCTGAGCAGGCGTTGCTCTCGCTTGTTGTCATTGCCGTTGCCTTTGCCTTTTCTGCTGTTGCTATCAACTTAGGCTACAGTGCCTAGCAGCAGTCGACAGTCGCATGCTGGTAAAATATTGAAGGAGCAATCAAATTTGCAATGAAAATTTTTAACATTTTTTAACATTTAGAGTTATATAAAAATAAATGTAAAAATACATTTGATAGTCCCAGTATTTTGCTTGAAAATTCATAATTTATACCATTCAATATTTTAATATTATATACTTTTTAAAATTATATTTTCTTATAAGTAGAACAATTTTTAAAAACTTAAATTAATTTTTGTTTTTAATTTTTATTCATTTTTATTTATATACAATTATGCATCAATCGAAATACATGAAATTGCGGCAGGCACGGTGGCCGCTCTGTTGACCTGTGCTCCTCCATTGAAAATAAAAATAACAAATAAAAAAAAATAGAGAAGAAATTAAAACACCGCCGCCAATGTTTCAAACGGATAACCGAATATTTTCCATGTGAATTGGCTTCGCATTTGTGGGCTGAGACGCCAGCAGCGTCGTTGGCGCTGACGCTGGCGCTGCCGTTGACATTGACGTCGCTGTCGCTGCCATGTGTCGCTGAGAGCGAGCGGGAGCGGCGCGCACACACAGGGTGAGAGCGAGTTTTCCTTTCGTGTTTGTCGTGAAAATCCAAAAACGAAAAACCAGGAATAGGAGCAACAAAGAAAGAAAAATAAAAACACACAAGGAAAATAAAAGGAAAAGCAACGCGTGGAAAACGAAAACGCAAGGATAGCTCATGTTGGCCACAAGGGTGGCAAAGGCAGACAGCCGCTGTCGTCGTTGCCGTTGCCGTTGGCGTTGGCGTCGCCGTCGCCGTCGCCGTCGCAGTCGATGTCAACGCGTTGACGCTGGCAGCGATAGCTCCGCAATAGCGACTCACAGACATGTCGCTGCTAGCTGCTACGGAAAATGCGGAAAATTCAGCTGCCTGCCTACGTACACGTGCCTGTGTCTCTGTGTGTGCGAGTGAGTGAGTGTGTGTGCGCGTGTGAGAGCGAGAAAGAGAGCGAGTGTATTTGCCTGTGCCGGGCAGCCACGTTTATGATTGTTGCTGAGTTGCTTTGGCTTTATCCGAGAATTCGCTATAATTTCTTCTTCTAGCAATCGCCAAAGCACTCAAAGGAGCTTCGAGTGAATTCACCTGTGCCCACGTGGTCAGACGCCCACTGGCCACTAGTCTTGCTTTACTACAGCTGACACAGCCGCTGCCCGAAACTAACAGTTCTTCTTTGATTTGCCGTTGCCTTGCTAACGGCAAACGGCAGCAGCAGCAGCAGCAGCAGCAGCCCTCGTTAAGCTCATTAAAAAGTCAAATTTCACGAGGATCTATGGATAATCAGCAATATGGATATATTTATATTTATAGATATGTAACATATATACACTATATATATATATCTATATATATATATATATATATTACTTTGTGACATATTTAAGCTCGTCTAATGAGGGCACCCTAGTGGCTCACAACGTGCGCCAAATTGGTTAGCTTTATAGGTAAATCAAGCTCAGCAGACTTCCTTGAATATCTTAGCTCATTTCTGAAAAATAATATACAAATGCATTTGTGTTCCTGGTAGATAGATTGTTTGGGTATCTAGAATCTCTGGAATTGCAATTCCAAAAGCAGTAACTTTATAGATAGTTAATGGCACAGATTGTGGAAAGATAACAGACACACAAATTGCATTTTGGGATAGTTAAATAAATGATTTTTATCACAAAAAATAATAATAATAATAAAATAAATTGAGAGTTATAATTATATTTCGATTATTTATATTTAAATAAAATATCTTAAAACACATTGAAATATGTCGAAAATGTATAATTTAAATCATGATAAATCGATTTGACTAAAAATCTGCTGATTTCATGTTTATGCAGTGCTCATAGCTAGAGTTAAAATTATAATAATCATAATCAAAGGATCTACTTAGACTCAAATTAAAACTAAAGTTAAATACTATTCTTGTTAGATTGACACAAGTCTCTCTATAAATATAAACAATTCTTGTATGCTGAGAGTAAATTAAAAAACAGTTGAAACATTTTATTTAAAAAATAAAAATTTATAAATAAAGCAATTATGACAATATAAATATATATATTTATAAAGATTTGTACATAAAGAAAGCAAATAAACCTTAGCAACAAATACCCAACAATAAAACTAAAGTTAATTAAAATATGATTTATATTCATTAATAAGATGTCTTTAATTATGCAATAAATTAATCTGTCTAGCTATGCTATAAACCATCCATACAATAATCCATCTATATCTGTATCCTATCGATATCCATTTATTTTATTCCCTCTCTCTATGTATATATATATATACACATATATATATATATATATATCAATATTTATCCATCCTATTATTTATCTTTCTCCATATATCCTTTAATTGCAATATATCCTATAATATATATTCATCTATTTATCTATCCCTCTGTCTATATCTCTCCATCTATCCTTCTAGCTATTTCCATCCATATATCTATTCTATAATTTATCTATTTTCATCCAACTTAGTCGAAAGGCTCAAATTTGTACAATGAAATTTGAAATCTGAGCAGAGCTACAATTTTTTGTTAATAATAGAATTTTATACTGATACTGATAATGATAATGATAATGATAATGATCTGCATAATAAGAACAAGTTCAATAAAAGTCACTGAAATATTTTATTTCGTCTTTTCTCCTAGGCTAGCTCCGATGCACAATTAGAAATATTGGGAATTTATCTTTTATTGTCGAGAATTTGGAAATTTCGAACACATTTTCAGCTGTTTGGCTCTGTTCAAGGTGCTGCCACAAAGTTTAACTGTGACCTTGCAACATTTCGGTTTCGGTTTCGGTTTCGGTTTCGTTTGCTGC